ATCATACTTCCACATGTTGAAGTATTTAAAGGGTATTGGTTTTTTTTTTTTTTTTTCTGCATTTCCACTTCCATATTCACCACCAAAGGAGAGTGGTCCGAGATCCCTGAATTCATTACAGTGGCCATTGAGAGCTCATATTGATCCACCCAATCTCCATTTCCTAGCATCCTGTCCAGCTTTGCATAAATTCTAGTATTCACAGATTGATTGTTGCACCATGTGTAGATTGGACTTGCTGTTTTAGATCCTGAAGTCCACACTCATCTAAGCAGTATTGAAAGTGTTCAATTTCAGGCAGTAGGACCTATTTTCCTCCTAGTTTCTCTGTTGGTTTAAGAACATTGTTGAAATCTCCTCCTACTATACATGCCTTATTCACAGCTCTACTGATGTCGACAAGTTGTTTCCACAATTTCAACCTCTCTTGCTGATCATTTTTTGCGTAAACTACCGTCAGATGAAATTCATCACCATTAGCTTTTTGGCAGACATTACAATGAGTGTATTGCCCATCTGACTTAATTACTCTTATGTCCACTAAGTCATCCCAGAGTAGTAGGACCCTACCCTTTCCATTCTGTCCAGTACTTAGTTTATAACTCCATCCATGCAGAACTGTATACATAGGATTCTTCACCTTCTCCTCAGTCATTTTAGTCTCAACTATACCAGCCATATTTATCTTATTAGAAGCCAAAACTCTACTGAGTTCTTTCTGCTTTATAGGGGCATTTCAACCCCTAATATTCCAGGTTAATATATTACTCATTAAACCCTGGATCAGGGTACGGGTCATCTTGCAAAGTATCCCCCCTTTCTGCATTATTTCTACCTCTTCCCTCGTTTCTGATGATTTTTTCTATTTCTTCTTCTGAGGCATTGCTTGGCACTGAGTATTTTGCTGGACTTTTCCCTTTGTCTGCTTGGTCTCTCCTCTGTTTTACATCAGTTACAACTGGTTTTTTGTGCCGTCCAATCCTTTTAAGATGGTCTACACTTCTCCAATCTTTTTCATCAAGCAGTTTCTTTTTTTGAATTGGAGGTTTTGCTACCATCTGCTCTGCTGCCTGCTTTCTACTATGTTTAGCTTCATGCCCATAGCCTGCACAACCTTCACAACAAATAGGTGCCCATTCAAAGGGCACTTTCTAGTCCTGTATCACTCTTTTTTCATCTTCAAACATCACCTGGGTTGGGAACTCTGACCAAATCTCCATTTCTATCAATACTCTAGCATAATTCACCTTTTCCTTGCTATTTGTAAGTTCATCCGTCATAATCGTGGTTCCCAATGTACTGGCTATACTACTCAAGGAATCTGGATTCCCGTATTTGAGTTCAAGATTTGGGAATTGAACCCAAGCCGAAACTCTATTTACTTCTCTATAATTAATCCCTTTTTCCACCAACCAGGGTTTAACAATTATAGGTAATCCTTTTCCAAAATGATAGACATTTGATTGAAGGGCTTCTTCCCTAGAGTTCATAGTATTGAATCGAATCATGAAGAGACCAGTAGGCAATAAGATTACCTTATCTACTCTCAGGTGATTCCAGATTCGTCTATAGTAATTCTCCATCACTGGACATAGCGGATGAGCACCTAGGACGAAGCTGACCACCGATGGCTTCTAGTAATTGGCTTTTTCTTGCACCTTTTCCAGCTTGATTTTAGCTATTGCTATACCACCAAATTGAAAGCAAGTTTCATTCCGGATTTTCTCATGCGGCTCACATCAAAGGTGTCCCAGGCATTGACCCCTTCATCATTCTCTGTAGCATCTGCCCATGATAGTTTCTTCTTCCCTGATGATTCCCCCTTTTCAATTGTACGATTGGATTGCTTAATTTGAGGATTTCTCCCCGATTTTTCATTTCCCCCAATTCTGTTAGGGTTTTGGTCATCGTTCTTGTTTCCCCCAATTCCTTCTTCCTGCTTCTGTTTGTCCACTCTCCTTTGCTTGCTGTTGCTGTCGATCGTATTCTCCTTCTCTATTTCATCATTTACCGTAGCTTTCTTTACAGGTTTCCTTCCCCTTGCCATGGCGTGGCTTACGTTAGCAGTGACTAACAAGCGCCGAGAGTACAGGTGGAGAAGAGAGAGGAAGCTACTTTAAAATTATTATTCACAAGAAAGTTAATGATAATTCTTTTTCTTTGATCAGTCCACCGATCTGACATAATGGTACAACCAGTCTTTTTCCATAGTTCTTTATAATTTTGAATTACAACCTTACTTCCATCCACTTCCCTCTTTAAAAAAGTTTCTCTCATCTCATGGTATGAAGGTGGTTGCCATCCCTTCCCACAATCCCCTAATCTTTTTGCAAATGGATGAAAAAAGGGATTCTTAATAGCATTAAATGGAAGTGCACTAGTATAGAACCATCGAGCCAAAATTTGACCAATTTCATCTCTTTCTCTCTTGCTTAATTTTTCATTCAAAGTAGTTTGTCTTCCTGGTGGATGAGTTTGCGTAGTGTCGTTGATCCACTTCCCAAAAGAATAATTTATAAACTTACTTAAAACTATTAGCTAGTAGTAAGCAGGGTCGTTCCATAGGGACGGCAGTCAATCACCTTCCTATTTTTATGATTCGGTTTTGATTCAAATATTCATATAGTGTATGATTAGTTGTTCGATCAGTCACCTATGTATCGTTATTATTCCTTCTAGATAGAATAAAGAGTTCTAGATTATCTAACCCAGTCAGAGTATTCATTAATCTAAGGCATTAAGTTCTTAAGCCCTTTATGATTGCTTATGCCATTCACCTAACTTCCGTTGATGTGTGAAACCGCAGGGTAGATTTCCTCCATTGTCATAGACTAGATTAAGCAGTTCTAAGGTTATCCTCCCCCTTCCAGATCTTCATAACCATGCAAGTACATTTAATTAAGTGGCCAAGTTAATTAAAAGGTTAATTAAATCACTTATCTAGGCACAACACCTCGTCAATGAAACTGAATCAAAAATTTCACATAAGATAGTAGGGATTGAACCCTTAATTGAGTTAGCTATCATGTTTATTGAGTTAAATATGAGAGTAACCAAGTACAAAAGATAAGACATAAATCTAAATCAAAAAGTTAGAGGAAAGAAAGGAAGGATGGTAGCAGGGACAGTGCTGCCTGCTCACTATGGCGAGTGGCATTCGCCACTTGACAGAGTGACAGTTTGCCTCCGTGTTCCTGCTATTACCCTGCGTCTAACCTACTAACTAACTACCTAACTACTGTCTTTTGGACTAAATCTAACTATCCAATCTGTTATTTTTCTAACTGCTATTGGCTGACTATTTATAGAGATTTGGAGAGGCTTGGATTGGTGGAGTTCTGCCTTCTGTTCAACAAAGTAGAGGAGACAACAAGTTGCAGCAGCCAAAGGCAATTGTTTATTTAGCAACTTGCCCAAGTTGCTGCCTTTTCTGGGTAGCTCCTTCCTTCTTCAGCCGCAATCAACCATCTTCTACTCATCGTCGCTGCTTCTTCTTCGTCTTCTTCTCCGGTGCCTTTCCACCATTTGCTTCCATTTCTTCATCCTTTATTCCTCAGCAGTCCAACTAGCAGCAGTAGCAAGCAGCAACATCAGTAACATGCTTCTTTCCATCATTGTGTCTCAACCCCCAATTCATCCTGAATCTATCTACCTTTTCCTTCCGTGTTTCCTGTGATCACTTGCAATACCATTTCTCACTTGACTGCAGCAGCCAATCTATTAATTCAGCAGCAGCAGTCTCAGCAGGTAAGTAGCAGGTTATAGCTGTTGTTTTCCACATATTCTCCTCTTTCTCTTCTTCAACTTGCAGTGAGAGCAAAGTAATTCCTTCCTTTGGCAGCAAGAATTCAGCCTTGGCTCTTCCTAATTGACAGCAGCAACAGCATCTGCAGCAGCAACTTGGCAGCAGAGTAGCTGCCATTTCTTCCCCTCAATTGAGTGTGCTGCAGTAGATTCTTCCACTTGTATCCATCTGCTATTAATCTTCCTTTCACAATAAGGATTTCTCCACTTGCTTCAGCTCCGATCAGTCCTTCAACAGCTCAATTTCTAGCAGCTTCCATTTCAGTCCAGTTTGATGCCTGTTGTGCAATTTGGTCCTCTTTTATTATAATTTCCACATTGGCCCTCTAAGATACCTTAACTTCAAAATCACCCCAAAAGTAAACTAATCCGAACTAATTGACACTAAATTATGAGTAGAAATGAGTAAGAAATGCCTGCAAAGAGGGTATATATTTTTGTGTTATCACTTCCCCCTAGCCCTCCCTTATTTTTACAAAAAATCCATCTATGGACCCCTTATCACTAGGTGTAGGTGCAACATCATCATCAACAGAATAACTTGCAGAGTCACTAGTACTTTTTTTTTTTTCTCTTTAATCCAGAAGCATTAGAACTTAACAACTCAATCATTTCTCTCCTAACATCACTGGGAACACTAGAACAAGGTCCCACATTAAAATTTGAACCAGCCAAATGATGCTTTAATTTATAAATGCCACCATGCTGAACAATATTACAATACTTACGTTTTACTTGTTGCGGTCCAACTTCAATGCCATGCGCCCATCCAGGGTCCATAAGAGAACCAGCCACATTTTTTCTTGATTTTTTTTCGAGGCGCCGATGATCTTGGGGTAGACATTATAACATATGCACTGAAATTAAAAAAATTATGTTATAATTTAAAAATCTTAATTATTAATTAATAGCAATACTAGTTTTGCTACAATCAAGCAATGAAAAGAAAGAGAAAAAGGGGGGGGGGGGGCTTCGGCTAAAGAACAAGAAGGCCATATTCCAGAATCCAGAATGCCAAAATGAAGGAAAAGGGAAAAAAATGAAAAAAAATCCTCAAAATTCATACAGTCAAACTCAAAGTTTAAAGTATAACATCATCCCCTAAAAAGAAAAAAATGCGTATCAATCATCACTCAATCAAAGTCTCAACAAAATTCTGCAATCTAAATTTCAAAAATGAAAAAAATGAATAAGGAATGAGATTTGGGATTCCGTTGCTAGTTGTTACTCGCGACCACGGACTCACATCACTAAAAACCATCAAGAATCAAGCGGCAGCCATTGCAGGCTTCATGTTTCAATGGGGATTCGGGAGCCTTGAGAAATCACTAATTAGAAGTATGGGGGAGTGGATTTGTGAATTGGAGATGGTGTTAGAGCATGGAAAACCAATGGTGATGGTGTTTGGGATTGAGATTAGGCCGTTAGGGTTCTCTGGAAGGGGACCAAATATTTCTTCAATTGGGAATTTGGGAGTGGTGCGATGGTGATTATCTGATGATGATAAATTTATAATTGACTAATTCATTACTTGATCTAATATTCTAATGAATTCAGTAAAATATATGGTAATTGGCATTTGGCAGAAGTTACTTCACTTATGGGCCTTAAGCCCTTACGGCCTTATTGTTAGACTATATGTACAGCGGGGTATATATGTCTTTGTATGTTGTGTTCCGGAAGGTTCCGGTAAACCCTAACCCTAGTTGTATTTGTGTATAGATAGCTGTATTTGGCCTCACTGTAATATACATGTGTTTTATCAGCCTAATTATTAGATTCTTCATGGCATCAGGATTCGTTTTTTAGCCACCAAAACCCGAAGTAAACTCTCTGCCGTTTCTGTTTGTAGCCAACTTTTCCGCAGACTTTGTCCCCTGGCGATCGGTGAGGAAGCTTCCGATGTTGATCAGACTTCTGCCTCTGTACCAATGTCGTTCCTCCTGTTGATCAACCACGAAGAAAGACCATCAATCCATATGATTTGTCTGCTGCAGACAATCCTGTTACTCCCATAACTTCTGTAACCTTGAAGCTTGATAATTACGACGAATGGATTCGTTTAATTCGTCTGTCTCTTTGTTCTCGCAAAAAGTTCGGCTTCGTTGACGGTTCCATCCCTCAGCCAGCGGCAAGTCATCCCGATCTTGAAGATTGGTGGACCAACAACTCTCTTTTGGTCGCTTGGTTGCTGAATTCAATTGAACCGTCGATCCGGTCCACCATTCCTCATCGTGAGGTTGTCGCTACTTTGTGGTTTGATCTGAAAGATCGTTTTGAAGTTGTTAATGGTCCAAAAATCCAGCAGCTGAAAGCCGAGTTGGCTAACTGCAAGCAAAAGGGTTTGAGCATGGCTTCGTATTATGGAAAACTTCAACAACTATGGGAGGATCTTGCCAATTATGAGTCAACATTGGAGTGTCCTTGTGGTTCTGCTGAATTTCAGGATGCCTGTGCTTCCCGGCGTGAGTCTGAGAAGCTGCATCAACTCTTTATGGAGTTAGACGTCTCCGTTTACGACACGGTTCGTTCCAACATCTTGTCGCAGTATCCTCTCCCGACGGTTGCACGTGCTTATGCTCTTCTTGCGCAAGAAGAACGTTTGCGCACTCCTATTTCTGATGAACCGATTGTAGATGTTCTCGGTTTTGCTCTCCAAGCTGGTGGTCGTGCTGCTTCTTCCACTCCCCGTACGCGTCCGTCGCCTCCACCAAAAACAAAAGCTACTAATGAATGGAAGGACAAGTCGTCCTTGATGTGTTCTCACTACCAGAAACATGGTCACGAAGCCTCCAGTTGTTTTGACCTGATTGGTTATCCCGATTGGTGGGGTTCTGGTCGTCGCGGTGGCTATGGACGTGGTGCAGCTGGTCGCGGGTCTTTTGCAGGTCGTGATGCAGCTGGTGCATTGTCTGGTTCTTCTAATCCTCCTGGTGGCCGCGGTAATGCAGCTGGTCGCGGAACTTCACGTGTCAACACCGCAGTTGTTTTGGGGAGTCCTTTTGCGGGTGCTGCTATTTCGGACAATGATAAGGCGACTGTCACGGGCCTTTCCCCCGGCCAATGGCAAACTTTAGTTTCTTTAATCAATAAAAATAATTCTGGTTTCTTTCTTGCAAGCATTTGTCTAATATATGGATGTATGATTGTGTGCCTCTCATCATATGATGGGGTTTATTCATTTTTTGGTGGATGTACGTAATATTTCTTCACGTCCAGTTCATTTACCAGATGGTACTGTGGCGTATGCTACTCAGGCTGGTCATGCTCATTTGAGTGGTTCTGTGGTGTTGGAGAATGTTCTTTACGTTCCGAATTTGCAATGCAGTTTGATTTCCTTATATCATTTGTTGGAATTTGCATTGCATTGCTCAGTTTACAAATAATTTTTGTGTTATTCAGGACTACACTACGAGGAAGCTGATTGGAGTGGGTGAGCCGTTGGGGGGTCTGTATTTCTTCCAGGGGCCAGCTGTTGCAAGTGTTGTTCATGCCGTGGTTGGTGATTCTTCTCAATTGTGCGATTAGGGCATCCGTCTCCACAGGTTCTCCAGCAGTTGTCCCTTGTTGATTCTAGAAGTAATTTTGATATGAATAAATCGTGCGATCTGCGCAAAACAATCCCGAGCTAGTTTTCCTCTTAGTAATACGCAAAGTACTGAGTTATTTTCTTTGATACATTGTGATTTGCGGGGTCAGTATCGTGTTCCTGCTTTTTGTGGTGCCAAGTATTTTTTAACTATATTGGATGATTTTTCTCGCACTACTTGGATTTATCTTCTTGATGATAAGCATACTGTATCTACTCGCTTGTGTGAATTTTTTGCTATGGTGCACCAACAGTTTGGTAAATTGGTTAAAACTGTGCATAGTGACAATGGCTCAGAATTTGTGTCTATGGGTTCCTACTTTCGTAAAAATGGGATTGTGCACGAAACTTCTTGTGTTGGCACTCCGCAACAAAACGGACGCGTTGAACGCAAGCATCTTCACATTCTCAATGTTGCTCGGGCTTTGATGTTTCAAGCTAATCTCCCAATTCAGTTTTGGGGTAACTATGTGTTGACTGCTGGTCATAATCTATCACACTCCCTCGGCTGTATTAAATGGCAAATCTTCGTTTGAAATATTGTATGGTAGAACTCCTTTTCTCCAGCACTTGCGTGTTTTTGGGTGCTTGTGTTATGTTTATAATCAAGCTAGGGGGGAGATAAGTTTGCTTCTCGAAGTCGAAAATGTGTGTTTGTAGGGTATCCTGTTGGTAAAAAGGGTTGGTTGGTTTATGATCTTGACCTTCAGAAATTTTTGGCTTCCCGTGATGTGGTGTTCCGTGAAAATGAATTTCTGTTTGCTACGACTTCTTCTGCGAGTTCGTCTACGTCTGTTGCACAATCAAGTTCTCCCGTATTCCTTGAGGATGATGTTGTGAGTGTCATACCTCCTATTGCATCTCCTGATTCTAGTCATGTTTCTTCTAATCCATCTGTGCCTACTAATCACGTATCTCCTGTTACTACTACTGATGCATCGCCAGCATTACGTGAATCTGTCTCTTCGGCTTCATCTGAACTCTTGGGTCGTGGGCTCCGCACTAAGTTTCCTAGTACTCGTCAACGTGACTTTGCTTGCCATACTGTGAGTCCTGCTGCCCCATGCCAACCCCGCTTCATCAGCATCCTCAGGTAGTCCTTATCCCATAATCCATTTTGTCAACTGTGATTCTTTCTCACCCGTCATCGAGTTTTCTTAGCAGCTATTACTGTCGGCGTTGAGCCTAGTACATTTCCTGAGGCTATGCAGGATGCATAGTGGTGCTCTGCTATGTCTAGTGAAATTCGTGCTTTGGAGAATAATAACACTTGGGAGCTTACTGCACTCCCTTCTGGTAAACGAGCTATTGGTTGTAAGTGGATTTACAAAATCAAGTATCATGCTGATAATTCTGTCGAGCGATACAAAGCTCGTTTGGTAATTCTTGGTAATAATCAAGTTGAGGGGATTGATTATCATGAAACCCTTGCTCCTGTGCTAAAATGGTGACAGTTCGTACGTTTTTGGCTGTTGCTTCTACCAAGGATTGGGAGTTGCATCAAATGGATGTGCATAATGCTTTCCTTCATGGTGATTTACATGAAGAGGTCTATATGAAGCTTCCTCCTGGTTTTTACTCTAATGCGCCGGGTCAGGTATGTCGTCTCCGACGTTCCTTGTATGGTCTTAAGCAAGCCCCTCGTTGCTAGTTTGCTAAATTGGCTGGGGCCTTGAAGGTGTATGGTTTTGTTCAGTCTTCAGTTGATTATTCACTCTTTACTTATCATAAGGGCATTGTTTGTTTGTCTATCTTAGTTTATGTGGATGATCTTGTTATTGGGGGCAATGATAGTGCTGCCATTTCGATTTTCAAATCCTACTTGAGTTCTTGTTTCCATATGAAAGACCTTGGGGTTCTTAAGTATTTTTTAGGTCTTGAGGTGGCTCAGAGTTTGTCTGGCATATTTCTTTGTCAGCGAAAATATGCTTTGGACATTCTTTCTAAAGATGGCCTGTTGGGTGGTAAACCTGCTGCTTTTCCTATGGAACAGAATCATCATCTTCCGCTAGATGAGGGTCCGCTTTTCTCGGATCCTGAACGTTTTCGACGTTTGATTGGTCGTCTCATTTATTTGGCTGTCACTCATCCTGATCTCTCATACAGTGTGCATATGTTGGCTCAGTTCATGCAAACTCCCTGTCAAGCTCATTGGGACGCTGCTCTTCGTGTGGTCCGTTATTTGAAGTTCTCTCCTGCTCAAGGTATTTTACTTCGTGCTGATAGTGATCTTCAGCTGTATGGTTGGTGTGATTCTGACTGGGCTAATTGTCCTTTGTCTCGTCGTTCTCTTACTGGCTGGTTCATTACACTGGGTCATTCTCCCATCTCCTGGAGTACCAAGAAACAACCAATCGTGTCTTGTTCATCTGCCGAAGCTGGGTACCGAGCTATGGCCAATACTGTCTGTGAGCTGAAGTGGCTGAAATCTCTCTTGTTCAGTCTTGGTGTTGCCCAATCTTTTCCTATGCGTCTCTACTGTGATAGTCAGTCTGCTCTGTATCTTGTGGCTAATCTAGTTTTTCATGAGCGTACTAAACACATTGAGGTGGATTTTCATTTTCTTCGTGATGCTTTTCTTCAGGGTGTTATTGCTCCCAGTTATGTATCTTCTCAAAACCAATTAACAGACATCTTCACCAAACCTTTGGGACAACACACCTTTATTATTATTTTGTCCAAGTTGGGCATTCGTAATCTGCATGCTCCTACTTGAATGGGGGGTGTTAGACTATATGTATAGCAGGGTATATATATCTTTGTATGTTGTGTTTCGGAAGGTTCCGGTAAACCCTAACCCTAGTTGTATTTGTGTATATATAGCCGTATTTGCCCTCACCGTAATATACGTATTTTTGATCAGCCTAATTCTTAGATTCTTCACTTATAGGATTATACGCA